AGGTTAGACAAATCTTGTGATTTTCCCAAAAATTGATCTCAATCAAGCGCTCCACTTGTTTCGACTTGGAGACAAGGTGGAGGTGGGACGGTGGCATATTTTGAGACATATAAGTCTTTGAAGTCGTTATCCCATAGCCCACACACTTCATTAGTTGCATCTATGAGTGTTGTGGTTAGAGGTTTCCCTATGGGAGTAATGTAATCCAAGGGATTGAACACATCGCTCCTCATATGGTCCTTATCAATATGAAATATTCCCAATGGGGAAACATTATTATTGGGTTTAGGCGTGGGAATTTTCCCATAGTCTACTAGATCTTGAATCTTGTGTTTCAAAACAAAGAAATGTTCAGTGTCATGCCTAACACCCCTATTATAAGTGCAATAAGCATTCTCATCCCATTGAGGATGTCTTCTTTCTATAGGAGCAGGAGGTGTTGGCCCTGTTGGTGAGAGCAATCCCTTTTCGTTTAGTTTTTCTAGTAATTCATTATAACTTACAAGGAATTGTATGAATTTTCTTTCTTTTGTCTATCTTTTTTGAGGATCATTATATTGTGTTGTATTATTATATTGTGTGGACGTTGCAAAAACATCGATAGAGGATGAAGTGTTATAATTCCCCTTCTTGTAGTTATTTTTAGGTTGATGATGATGAGGCTTATTTGTTTTTTTCTTTAGCAAAATCATCTTTAATCCTAGTGGCCAGAGAATAGTCTTTTTGAAAAGTGTCTAGACCTAGGTAACGTAGATGTTTGTTGTACTTTTCATGACAATTGTCAATAAAATTTTGTGCTAACTCGAGTTCAGGCGGTCTTTGGGCAAGGTGAGCCGCCTTTTCACACCATCTACCGTAGAAAGCAAGAAAACCTTCGTCGTCACCTTGCTTAAGCATTTCAAGTTCACGTAAAGTTGATTTGAACTCTACGTTACTCTCATATTGGGTGATGAAAGCTGAAAACTACATCTTCCCATGTGCTTTTGAACTTGGCATCTAGCCCATAGTACCACTCTCTTGCGTCTAGGTCTAGAGATAAAGGAAATGTCAAAGCATAGAGCTTAGGATCAACTACCTTTAAAGCCATGGTGCCAGTAGAACTCATAAAATGATTTATTGGATTATTAGTCACCTTAAACATTGGTAAGTCCGTAGCTACGAACTTTTCAGGTAAAGTAAGTCCTATGGGAAGAGCAAACTTTTCTGCGTCAAAGTACTTGTTCCTCATTGTAGAGCGAAGAACAAGCTTCTCCAACGTCTTCTCTCGTTCGGCTAAAGCATCCATTTTTTTTTCAAAGATAAAGCCTCGGCCTCTTTCTTTTCGGCCTTTTCGAGTTTCTTAATTCTCCTAACCTCGGCTTCTTGAGCCTTTTCCTCTCTCATGCGGACAATCTCATCTTGGAGTTGCTTGATGGTTGACATTGTTGGACAAAGGGATGAGTTGACAAAGGGAAATGGTTCGAAAGGGGTGGATTGTTTGATGGTAAGCGTAGAATGCGAGCGCCCGGGTGTCTTCGTTCCTAAGCTTGGTAACCAGCCCTAAAGGAAGTACGAGAAGTTAAGAAAACCGACATGCTTGTTTTTGAAAAGAAAATAAAAGAAAAGAAAGAAGAAAGAAAAAGACGGAAATTACATTCGAAGGGATAACATCGCCTTTTAACAACTCATTAATAATGATATTGTTAGAACGAGCCAATTGTTCATGGTTACTCAAAATGGTCTCGTAGCAATAGGGCGTGCGCAAGATGCTAGGTAGCGCGTGGTTGGCGCGCGCAGCCCTAGTACTTGCGATGGGTGTGGTCGCGCAACTCGATGAGTTGCGCGCGCCACCTGTTCGAGCAGGATTTTTTTTTGTCGAGCGATTTTATATATATATATATTTTTTTTTTGACGATTTTTTTTTGTATGATACCCCTTAAACGTGACTAAAAATTACGAAGGGACAACTTCGTAATTAGGAACCTAAATTAAGACTAAAAGGAAAAAAGCTATCCTAAACACGTTGCAAATAGTCATGTAATCATATAAGCATACGAGAGATCCTTTAAATCACATAATGCCATTCTAAGGTCAAGGTTTGGGTGTCCAAAAGATACCATATCTTTAAGAAGCAATGCCCAAATCAATCACTCAACGTGTTGACCCGTGACTTGGTTCCCCCCAACATTTGTTGGCGATATGGGTGGGATAATTGTTATTGATTTTGGGATAGAAGTCTGGTGTTGGTGACCCCTAGTCAATTAGTCAATCCCCAAATGGTTTGAAGGTGCTATGATTATGCATGATGCAATGTTGCTTGTTTGGTTTTTACTTTCGTGAAAAAGGAAGATATTATGCGTTCAAGTCTCGCTCTTTAACTAGAGATTATCCAAGTTAACCCTCGTTACAACTCATAGGCAACCTAACTTGGAAACCTTGAGCCATAACTAAGAACTAATCTTGTAACCTCTAAGTCCCCAGCGGAGTCGCCACTGTGAGAAGGGTGTGCCCATCATAGGGGATCCTTCTCCTCTATGCCCATGACCCTTTAAAGCCTAGGACTTTATACTGCTTTAAGGTGTGTTAGGATTTGAATTCCTGACTGTTTGGGGGACCTTGAATTAGAGTTGATCCTATCATTACGCTTTTTTGTAAGAAACTAATAAGGAGTCGCCAATGAGTTTTAGAAAAACTCATAAACCTCGTTCATGCCTTTCTCCCAAGTAGAGTTCAAGGGATATTTAGCATGAATCATAAGTTTACCCATGCCCAAATTGGTCTACTTATACCAGAAATGAGTTCGGGAGCGAGGGTACTAAAATAATGTTCCTCTTAAGGAGGAATCGCTATTCTAGCCCAAGTGCGGCCTCTACTAGCTCTTCCTTTTTCACAATTTCATTACCAAACTATATATGCAACGTGATACCTAAAACTAAGTTAGTTGATTATATTTACACACATTAATCACGTAGGAATTACATTGCAAATGTCGTTATTCTTATTTATTCAAATTCGTGAAAGAACAAAAGGTAAACAAGATTCGCCTTGGCTTAAGTGATAAAACAATCAATTAATTATTCAAATTCTAGTCTTTATTAACGAAAGAATACTATGTGAATTAATTGATTAAGTTTGTTTAGAGTGACCAAACAACACTAATTAGTTGATTAAAAGTTGTTTAAGCAAGAAAAGAAAAGTTGATTTATCTAAGTGCTTAGGAATTTACCACTTTTCCTTGCTAGATCTTCGTTTAGAACACTTATGGACTCCTTCTTTTCGGGAACCTCCACCATAAGAACAAACGATTAAAAGGGTGAGTGTTTAGGACAAGGGGAATGATTAGTGCATAAGTTCACAAAGTTTCTGCTTACTTTCGGGTTAATTTCTGTGTGTCCAAAGCTTCGTATTGAACCTCTATTATAGGGAATGGGTGAATTTAGGGTTTTGAACATTCTGTCGCAGCAGGTGGCGCGAGCATCTTGAAAGGTCACGCGCGGCTGCTGCGCGCAAGTGGTTGAGTTGCGCTGCTGAGGGTAGCTCAACCAATTGTCTTGTGCGTGGCTTTATGGTAAGATTCGATTCAGTATTTTTATGAAATTCTGAATCTTCCGCGAGCGCACCTTTGGAGGTTGTGCTGGACGTCACGCGGAACCTTGCGGGTTGCGCGCACCAGGCTAGCGCGACTCCTTGATTTGCGCGCGGTTTTTCCTGTGGCAGCCTCGGATTTTAACCTAGGCACCTCTAAATCCGACAAAATTAGGTTTAATCTCGGGATTAGGCCTAATTACTGATCGGGCTTAGTTTTAGTTAGCTTTGGTTCATATCGTATTAGTCAAGCTAGTTGTTTTATGTGTTTAAGCCTTAATCAGCAGTCCCATAAGTGTTCTTCACGTTGATCCAACACAAAGATGGTTTTATTTATCGTCATAACACTTTCAATCGGAACAGGGGACTAAAAGTAAATGTCTACAAGTACAATCTATATCATCCAATGATATTGGTAAATTATCTCAATCAAAAATCACTCATGCACCCAAAAAAATATTAAAAAAAAAAACCATAATTTAAGCTAATAAACACAAAAATGATAGTTTGAGTATCAAGTAGTTTACACGAAGGTAAACATAATCGATTTAAATACAAGAAAGTTAAGGCTGTAAAGATTCTTCATGCTCCCCAACCAAATTATGATTAGTTTATAATTAGTCTTGCACCACCAACTAGGAAATCACATACGATCTTGCTAATTATTGTAAACATTAATCAAGTTGCTCTACTGTTGTGGCCTGGCCTTAGCCTCTTATGTAATAAGTCATGCTACACTCTTTTAATTTATTATTATTCTATGTTTATTTCATTCATGTGTTATATTTTCAATTGGTTGACGTGCATATGAACATGGACAATAATTTAATTAATACTCCCTCGGTTTCCGAAAGAATGACCCTTATGACCTAAATCTAGTCTCAAAATGATCATCTCATTTGCATTAAAATACTTTCCAATTTGCAACAATATTTGTGCAGTTTTCCCATGTACTTTTATTACTTTCTCTCTCTACTTTTTTGCAAACCCCACGTGAATTTTATTTTCCAATGTACTTTTACTACTATCTTTTTCATTTTCTTAATACTCGCGAAATCAACCCAAAATGATCGTTCTATCGGAGACGGAGGTAGTAATACATTTTGTAGTATTATTTATACATTATATGTTTGAAATATATGATGTCCACGTCCTTTTATTATGTTGATGTTTCCTAACTATCAAAAATAAATGATCTCAAAATAATCCAATTGAAATTAAAAATTATGTGTGTCTGGTGTTACAAAGGCATGCCATTCATGCACACGAATAATGTACGTATCGTATATTCGTATGTACTACTCAAAAAAGTTTGTGTTGGTCCATATATATTATACAGGAAACCTAATGTTTGAGTAAATCATTCAACTTTTTCTTACAAATTTCATCCTATAGCTTGAGCAAAAGCTCCTAGCTAGCTTTTATCCAACAATAAAATGGCTAATTCGATCCGAAGAACTACTTCTCACGTTCGTTCAAGCAGTTGGCCATGTACTCCGTACCCTCTAGAGTCGAGCATTGAGGATCTCTTGCTCAAGATCACTAGCTCGAGCTCATCACCATCTTCTTCGGTGGCATACATATGTAACAACTTGTATGATATCAAGAATTTGTATGAAGGCATCAACAATTTAATCCAGTGTTCCATGAACCAAAAAGTGCTTTCCCTAGGAGAACACCAAAGTGTTGTTGAAGAGGTTCTAGAAGGTTCTCTTGGCTTGTTGGAAGCTTGTTCATCCACTAATGATGTTTTGTCCATGATGAAAGAATCCATCGTCGAGCTTCAATCATGTCTTCGAAGAAAAAGCAGTGAACAAGAGAAGGATATCAATGCTTATTTGATGTCTAGGAAGAGAATCCAAAAAATGGCAAACAAATGCTTAAAAAAGTTGCACAAGCTAAACTTGGAAAAAGATGGAAAATACAACATCCCTTCTTTGAAAATGCTAAACAAAGCTGAGATTATTAGTTTTTCGGCTTTGAAATATGTCTTGGCTTATTTTTCGAAACCAACCAACAAAGGAAAGAGTTGGTCATTAATGAGTAAATTGATGCAATCAAAGAGCATATCATACGATACACAACTGGATTCCAATGAAATAATGAAAATTGATAACGTGATTTTTGCTCATGGAGCAAAGAAGACAAACGTAGACGTTAAAATGAGTCAAGATTTGTTGAAACAATTAGGAGCACTTGAAGTTAGTGTTCAAGAAATTGAAGGGTCCTTGGAGGCAATATCTAGATGCTTATTAAGAACAAGGGTATCCCTTCTTAATGTAATTAGCCATTAGTTTCCACTATATTGGGAAACCAATTTTGTAAAGGGAAAAAAAAAATTAATTCATTCTTTTCTACACAAATTAAAATGTTACTCGTACAATGCAATAGAGAACTACAATATATATCTTTATTTTTCTCATGAAAATTATGCCAATTTCATTGACTTTTTTCCTTGTGATCGAAGTATGGTTGTTTTCATACTCTCATTAATCGTTATGGCTTAATTAATTTGATTAATACAACAACATTCAAATAAATTAGTGTCCACTTACAAAAGTGGGGAAGCTTTAAAAAAAAAATCACCTTGATTTAAACCTTCTATTTTGCAATTTGGCTTCTGAACACTAGGCAAATTATAAACTAAAATGGGATAATCTCTTCATATCATTTTAATTTTTTCGGATTTAATCCTCCATCCTATCAAATTTTCAAAAGACATAAATATTTTGTTTATTATCCTGCTCGCTTGCTGTTGAGATAACACAAAATTTTGCTACAAATTTATACAAGTATATCATTTACAAAATTTCTATGTATTATTTACATACCTATAATTATTATATGGGACTTGAATGATTTGTAAGGGCTTGTTTGAGGCTATAAAGTGACTTCTTTAAGTTGCACATTTTTCCCTTGTCTCAACTCCTTGATATACACACTTTAAGTCAATATATAAACTACATTACTCTATATATGGTTAAAAAAAATTATATAACCAGAAACTGAAATCGTACAATGATATTGAACCAACCATACATATGCAACTCAACTTGGACTCAATGAATTCATATTGGATTACGTATTGGATTACGTATTTCGAATGAATAAAACTGTATTAACACAGTACACATACATATATGACCCAATGTGAATGTCCAAACCTATTTATACCAATGTCTAAACTAAAACTTGATTCCAACGTCCAACATTGTACCTCTGAGTTAAGTCATCATCACCTATAGTGAAAGAAATGTAAGAAGTCTGGAGTATTTAGTTTTGAGAATTTAACTTGAAAGGAGAAAATAATAATTTGAATAGTGATTGTTAACTAGTTTAATTATGTCAGTATTAAAAGTGGTACTCAATACCTAAAACATTCAATTCACATCTATCATTGCCCTTGGTACCTCTTTTCTACACCTCAAGATCGAGAGGAAAAAAAAACATGTAATTAAACAATAGTGATACACAAGTATCGCATAATTTACACGAAGGGAATAACATTATTTAAAACACCAGAAATTTAAAGCTGTCAATATTCGAAAATCTTATTATACATATATATAGTATGATGATATGATCTTCCAAATCACTTGTAAAGATCAAAGATGTTGCTCAAGTTGTGGCCTTAAATTATTATGTTAGTAGTCTCCTGTCTATGCCAGTCATTCACATATATAATACCTTTTTTAATTCCACTTGTGCTACTCTTAAGGTTGATCCAATTTTAAATTAGTTACGTGCGGTTTTTATAAATTGAATATGGACAATAATATAAAATACTATGTAAAATATTACTACTTTCGTACATCTTTTATTTTCTGAAAATTATAATTAGACTATATATAAAGGTGGGCATCGTGCCGTGCCGTGCCGCCGCGGGCCACGGTCAACAGCGTGCCGTGCCTGTCGTGTCACCGTGCCAAAACCTCGTGCCATGCTGTGCCGGCCATTTTCACGTGCCGGCCTGCGTGCTGGCCTGGCGGGCTGGGCAGTTTCCAATTTTAATTTTTTGTTTTTTTTTAAGTTATAAAATTATAACTTATATTATAATGTATATAATTTATAAAAATAAAAAATTATAATTATAATTTATAAGTTATAAAAATTTATAACTTATAAGTTATAAAATTATAATTATAACTTATAAGTTATAAAATTATAATTATAACTTATAAGTTATAAAATTATAATTATAAGTTTTATAAGTTATAAGTTATAAAATTATAAGGTATAAAATAAATTAAGTTGAATATTTATGTTTTATAATTTTGTATATTCAATATTTATATTTATATATTTACTTTATACTATTACTTTCAAATTTAATTTTTATGATTTATTAAATATAATTTTGTATTAGTAATTGGTATAATTTTTTTTTTTTAATATGAATTTACAAATTATAACAAAACGGGGAAAAAAGGCAAATTGGACTTTGGATGTGAATAATGCGTACTTCATATTATTATTACTTGAGTTGAGAAAATTGTACAATGATAACAATGATAAAAATCGTACAATGACGGTATTAAACAAAAATTGGAAAATGATAATATTGATAATGATTAAAATAGTACAATATACAAAAATTATCTATTCTTCTTCTTCTTCTTGCTTGTCTTCGTCGTCGGCTTCGGCTTCGGCTTCATCGGCTAGTTGGATAGATTGGGAACTAGCCGAACCCGAACGGTCGGAAGCGGAGGTTCCTTCATATTTGTCGTTGTCCTCGTAAGAACGGTCTTGTGAGCGATTTTTCGCATCCAACCAATCTTTGAAACACACGCACATTTCTAGTGTTTCGGGCTTTAGACTTGTTCTTCTATCGTCCAGAACCCTTCCGGATGCGCTGAAAGCTCGTTCGGAGGCAACAGAGGAGACTTGGATACCAAGAATGTCTCGTTCCATTGCCGCCAAAGTTGGATGCTTCCCGCTTTGTTGTTTCCACCATGCAAGGAGGTCAAGGCTGTTTATCTCATCGTCGTCCATGCCTTTGGTGAAGTCGTAACTCAGGTACATCTGTAACTCCGAGACGTCGCTTTGCGTTCTCCTAATTGATGAATCACCTGAAAACCTTGAAATCAAGTTAGTAGCTTGTGAAAATAAATGTTTGGCCTTCTTACTTACGTTTTTGGATGGTTAGGAAGGCCCTGAGCGAGGAACGGTGCCATATTTGGCTTCATAGACTCTATATAAAGCAAAAAACTAATCCTTCACATTAGTCTTATAGTTTTATACATCATCGTCAAGAAGCATGCATTGAAAGTAAATGTCAACTAACATAAATGTGTTATCATACTTTTGCCTAGGATCTAATATGGAAGCAAAAATATAAATCAAAGGAATTTCACTATAATATTTACGCCACTTTGTTTCCATTGCTGGAAGATACTGATCATAATCACTTTGGTTGCGATGATCAGCGAAAAGTTGGGCGAGTAAACATGCATTAGAAAGAAAGTTTTGAGCACAAGGATTGTAAACAGAAGAAAAACAATACGTCATGTTATATAATAACTGTAAAAATTGCATATGTCTTTCACAGTTATACCAATCATCATCATATAAAGCAGTTTGTGGAAATTTTTGGTTGTAAAATATTGTTAACGGGCCCTTGTACTCAATTGCCTTGGTTAACATGTCATAGGTGGAATTCCACTTAGTTGGGCTATCGATTTTGATTTTTATTGCCCTTATCTTTTGTTGTCTTAGAAAACTCTTCCATTCTTGGTACCTCATGTTTGAGCTATTAATAGACATAATAGCATCTCTGATTTTGTTGTAGTATGGGCCAATTGCCCGAACTCCATCCTGTACACATAAGTTAAGTACATGGCAAACACATCTAGTATGAAGAGCATCACCGTCTAATATTACATCGATTAAGTTTTGTTTGACAAGATTAGTTTTGTATGTCATAGAGGTTGCATTGTCTAAAGTCATAGACATCATTTTATCTCGAAGGTTGTATTCGTCTATTGCTTGCATTAAATGGTGAGCAATGTTAATGCCGGTGTGTGGGTATTCCATCATTTTGAAATGTATTATTCTTTTTTGTAACAACCATTGATCATCTACCCAATGGAAAGTCACACATAAATAGCGATATTTATAACCACTATCCCAAGTATCGGCTGTCAAAGACATTGTACAATTAAGGTCCCTCAATTCGGCTTGTAACCGCAATTTGTACTCTAGGAAGTTTTTCATGGCGGCGAAACGAACGGTTTTTTTAGAGATTCTTTTATGTTGGGGTTGTAGTGCTTTGTTAATGTAAGTGTTAAATGGGTCACTTTCCGAGAAAAGAAAAGGTTGTTCGGCGTGAACTATCATTTTTCCTAGTTCATCCCTATGCCTCTCATAGTTGTAGGTAAAGCCGTATGGATGGAATTGGGAAATTTTTGGCTGGGTTGGATCACTAGCTGGTTGTGCACAAGATTTCATGTGTCTACTTAAGTGTCCCGTCCCGGATTTGGATATTGCCGAGAATACACCATTACATGTTTTACATTTTGCATGTGTTTAGGCTTTATTTAAGAGGAAACAACGCCATACATCACTCTTTCGGTTTTTCAAAAGTAGCATCTCAGTTTCGGTTAACCATTCATGATGTGTGTTTTGGTTATTAGTAGTAGAAGGGGTAGAACCGGAGGGAATTTGGGTACTTTCTTGGCTACTTTGGCTAGAATAATAGTTATGTTGATCACCAAAATAATTAGGTGGGAATTGACCGAATTGTGGGAATTGACCGAATTGTGAGAATTGTTGTGGATTTTGAAATTGGTTTGATGGTGAAAATTGGTTTGGTGGTGGTGATGGAAATTGGTTTGGTGATGGTGGTGGAAATCCCGACAAATTACAGGGTTGAAAATCGGAACTACCATTGTGCCTAAATGGCTCATAGCCCGGGGGTAAGTAACCGGGGTCATTGGTTGGACTCGGAATTTGGGGGCTCGTTGTATTAGGTGGTTCCCTAGAACTACTACTACGGCCAAGTCGGCCTTTCCCCCCCTCCCCCCCTGGGTTGTTCGATGCCATAATTAACAATTAGATTTTTAATAAAAATTGATTAACAATAATAATAATAATAATTAATAACAACAAGTTTAACAATAAAAAAATAATAATAATAATTAAAACAACAATTATAACAATAACAACAATAATAAATAATAACAATAATTGTAACAATAATAATAATTAATAACAACAATTATAACAACAACAATAACAATTAACAACAATAATAATTAAACAAGATTATTCTAATAATAACAATAATAAATTAAAG